TTTTTTTTTAATGTAATATTGAAGTGTTTATTATAAATGATTTAGCTGTGCACAACATTACTTTTATTAAAGTCCATGTGGTCTCACAATCTTTAAACAATTTAAAAGAGTCCCACCCTACTTTTTTTTTTTTTTCTCTCATTCGAGAAGCTGTTTCATGTGTCACAATAGGAAAGAAAGCATGATTTCAATGTTTCATGCTGATTTTAACTGCTGCTTTTTCATTTGTGGACATATTAGAAGTGGTATCTCATAACTTGCAATATTTGCTCATCATAATCATAAATAACTTGGTGTCTACTCTGACAAAAGTATGTTAGATGCATGTCTAAAGGCCGTTTCACACTGAGCGCAATGTGGAAAAGTGAGGCGAATCGCCGTCGGACATTGCTTTCACACAGAGCGCGAAACGTTTGATCGCCTTCTGCACGCTAGGTGGCACCGACCAGAAAAACATATATGTGTCTCATATATGGATTTAACATCGTCCGCTGCTCAATATACAGCATTAAATTAAGATAAATAAAGTTTGGTTCTATGCCAGAAACACAAACTATCTATAATGCTTACAGAAAACATCTTAAAATACAAACAGAAGTAGCATCATGACACATTTGAAAATTTATGTACGTTAGTTATTAATGTTTTTGCTTAAAACCCATTTTAAACCATCATTGAGTGCTTGTAATAACTTCCGATTGTGGTCTATAGTTGATTTTGATTCTATAATAAGCAGACATGCACTCTTTGTCTGTTTAATAAACATCCTTTATTGTTATAAAAATACCATGAGCTGCAAAACACATACAGAAAATATATCATCATAATCATATGTCTATTTGCTTTCATGTAGTATGTATATTTTGTAGAAATATATTTCACTCAATTTCTTTTAATACGGAAGATCTAGAGTTAACGCGCTCTGACTCGTATAACACTTGCACACGTGGAAGAAAAAAAACGGACACTCACATAATTCATTGGAGAATTAATAGAAATTATATTAAGAACATGTGCGAATAAATCTGTTCTCGGATACCATAGATAACAAGAACTCGGCATCCGCTCTCTTCTCTCACGGAATCGCTCGGAATACTATTCTTCGTTGTATTTATTTACACTAGTTTTCGAAACAGCGCCACCACTCTTTGCCTTTTTGTGCAACAGCAGCTGCTCCACGCACGTGATCTAAGCTCAAATCTGATTGGACGGCCCGTTTCATCGCGGAGCGACGGGGGAAAAAATCGACACACAGGACGAAAAAAAAATATCTTCGCTTTTTCGCACCACGAATGATTGCTCCTGGTGTGAATAGCCCCATAGGGATCTATTGTTTCGATTCAAAAGCGTCATCATGCCGAACATTCACGCCGAATTTTCGCATTGTGTGAAAAGCCCTTAACTGTTGCTGTAGTATTTTTTTCTCCATTTCTGTCACCTGATGGAGTTTAAGTTCCTTGCCATTGTCACCTTTGGCTTGCTAAGTTGGAGTTTTAAAAGACACTTAAAGGGATAGTTCACTGAAAAATAAAAATTGTCATTATATACTCACCCTCAAGTTGTTCCAAACCGGTATGAGTTTCTTTTTTTCAACAAAAAAAACAAAAGAAGATCTTTTGAAGAATGTTGGTAACCAAACAGTTGAAGGTAGCCATTGACATCCATAGTATGGGGGAAAATACTATGGAAGTCAATGGCTGCCATTTGGGTGAACTATATTACTGATTTGACTGTACCGACACTATCAGATGAGAGCAAAACTTGAGCTTGAGCCGAATCACACCATTATCTTATGTAGAGCTGCTTTTTAAGCTGAATGTTTCATAATTTATGAACTTTTACATAGTTACTGAACTGAATCAGCATTAACCTTGAGCTGAATAAAGACACTATTGTCTTTTTTTAGAGCTGCTTTGACTCATATTGACTCATAAGTTTGCAGAAGTGTGCTATAAAGGTTTGAAACGATGTGTATTGAGTAAAGGTCTAGATAAATAAAGGTGACTTGTGTGGAGTGCTGCATGATGTTAATATGTGCTGGTCTGGAATATGTTGTTGGCTTTAAACCAATATAAGATTGATGGCGATGGCAAAAAAATGTAAATAGATCTCCCTCTAAATTGTAGCTATTATGTCCTCCTACAATCTCACAGGCCTCTGATCGCTGCCAAGAACCCCAAAATCGCTGTTTCCAAAATGATGATGGTTCTGGGAGCGAAGTGGAGGGAGTTCAGCACTAACAACCCTCTGCGGGGCTCGGCTGCTGCCACCACAGCCCTGGCGGCCGCTAGTGCCGCTGTAACTGTTGAAACAGCAGCAGAAACTTCAGCCACTGCAACCGGAGCCCAAATCAGTGCCGAGTCCACACCAGCAGCTCCCGTACGCAAGGCCAAGACAAAAGAGGGCAAGGGTGGGTGCAAACTTGTTTCAATTCTTCTAGTTTGTGCTTTTATGATTGGTTTTTCACCATGTGAGTGAGCGATTGCCTGCTGTAGCAGCTATTTTCTCCAGCGTTTGTTTGATTTGTGCGTTTTCATCTGAACAGTATTATTATGGACATTCAGCAGTTGTTTTTCGCTGTGTTGAGGAATCATGGTTTCCTTGATCTTTTGCATCAACTTCATTGTGCTAGATTGTTTTTAAATTGTGATCTTGTCACATTATATTGGTTCCCGAGAAGCTATTATTTAAAAATGGGGCACTTGTTTGACCCAACAGCAAACCGCTGTTGCTCATTTCACGTGCAAAAAAGGAAAGCAAACATGGACTGCTTATTGGGTTTTGGTGCAGAAAACCTGAACCTCAGATAAAAATGTCGTGAAGTTAAGATTTTCAAAGTATGTGAATTAGTGGTCGACCGATATGGGTTTTTTGACAACCGATGCCGATATCTTGGAAAGCATAGTGGCTGATATAAAGCCGATTATAATTTTATTTGTTTTAATTCATATTTAAGAAATTTGAAATCATTTGAAAATGGATTAAAAATAAACGTGTAAAATAAACATACTTACTCTAGAAGACATACTTATACTCTAGAATTATTAGATAGACTTCTATCCGTATTAGACAGAACTGAATGACAACAGCGAACAAGAGGGAGAATGTGAGCACTGTGTGCTCAGGCGCTGCCACAGCCGTTCTCGGTGCCGTCAAAATAAAAGTCCCGCCTCGAACACATCGGCTAAACAGAAAAACTTATCGGCCAATGCCGATATTTGAAAAATGGCAGATATCGGCCGATATATCGGCCTTGGCGATATATCGGTCGACCACTAATGTGAATGCAAATTTAAGACGTACGAAAATTGATCAAAAGTTTGGGGTCTGTATAAGGTTTTATGTTTTTGGAAGAAGTCTAGTTATGCTCACCAATGCTGCATGTATTTATTACAATTTAAAATGCTGTTTTCTATTTAAATGTGTTTTAAAATGTTACCTATTCCTGTGATGCAAAGTTTAGTTTTCAGCATCATTCCTCTAGTCTTCAGTGTCACATGATCCTTCATAAATCCAACAAAACAACATGCTTTTTACATGCTAACAGGGTTTATTTGTGATGTAGGAGTTCTTAGCCACTAATTGTTTGCGTGCTGCATTGAAAAATTATGCTAATTCCTGCACATTTCAGGTCCCAATGCACGCAAGAAGTCCAAACCCGCTCCCAAACCTCAAGAGAAGAAGGTGAAGACCAAAAAGGTTGCTCCTCTGAAGATCAAACTCGGAGGCTTCAATAGCAAAAGGAAACGCTCATCTGTAAGAACCTCCGTTCTACTTTTTTTTTCTCTTCCTTTTTTCCAGCTTACCTTTGCACTTATCCTTTAACCTCTTAGCAATGAACGATGTTGTTTTTTTCTTCGCTCTGCTCTAATTTGAAACATAGCATCTTGCTAATGAAATCCAAGTAATTTTCTGGTTATTTATCAGGCTCACGATGCATTTCTCTCTGCCTCCATCTCCTTTTCTCTTTTTCAGAGTGAAGAGGACGATGTTGACGTGGACAGTGACTTTGATGATGGCAGTATGAACAGTGTGTCCGTTTCGAATGGATCAAATAACCGCAGTAGTCGCAGCAGCACTAAAAAGAAGCCCAAAAAGAAGACGAAAAAAGGTGAGGATCTTGTGCTCTCTCTCTATCTGTGCTTGTGAATACAGGGTGTCCGCGGGGTCTTAAAATGTATTAAAAGTTGATAAATCAATTTAGATATTAAAAAGTCTGTCATTTCCCAAAGTAAGAAAGAAAGTATTTTTCTAAAAAATGCCATTTTCCAAAGTATTAAATTTTGTATCATCTTTTCATTATGTATCTTTGTCCGAATAGTGGGGTTCTGTGTAGTTTATTTATGGAATCCCGCAAGATTTGACGTCATCTGTTACGGCGCTCACTGACTGTGCTGCTGCGTGATAGCGCGGGGTTTGTTGATCCCGCTCTCGCTGAACTTCTTACCATTACCGCCCGCTCCCCTCTGCTCCCATGATTTTTATGTCCGCTCCCGCAAACATTCTAATATTGTATATAATTTTTCGCGCATCAGGGAGCCGCTATCAATATGTGGAGTATTTAAATGGCTTTTGAATGAGCGCTGGCAGTTGCAGTTCACTTTCAATTTCGCGATCGCGCGCACACTGTGTAAAGGGAGCACACCTTACGATATAAGGCTGATTTTAAACTGTTGCCATGGGTTGATTTTCCCCAGTGGGTTAAAGGTTTTAAATATTACATAAATTACATTTGACTGAAATGCCTTTACTCAAACATTTTGCATTATACCTGTAATAAAACTGTACTAAATGTTTTGTGAAGGAGGGCCACTAGTAGGAAGCATTTGAGCTGTGTTTATGATCAATGTGCATAACATTGACTGTAAAATATGTATTTTAGGGATGGAAATGACATTTTTATATTTGGGACATGGTAATTGCACAACTTTGGGCTGTTTTTTTTATTACTGGCATGGGCTTGGGATGCACAATTAAAATGATGTAATAGTTGTGATCATTATTTTACCTTCCATGA